ACTCCTTTGGTTGTAGTCCTCTTAGCTAAAGCATACAGCTTTTGAACCACAGGCTCCTGTAGAAAGGTGAGTCAAATGTCCGAGTTTTGGGTCTATTAGTTTATTTAGGGTAGTAGAGAGACAAGGGGTGAGGTAATATCTTTTATTGGACCAGCTTCTGTTGGTGAGACAGACAAGCTTACAAGACAGAGAGAGAATGAGAGCAAACTTGTCTGTCTCACCAACAAAAGTTTGTCGAATAAAAGATATTACCTCATCTACCTTGTCTGTCTAATATCCTGGAACCGGCATGCCTATAACACCACATACAATATTGAGAGTAGTGAATTTCTCCACAAACAGAACCTGAAAACTGGGTGCATTCTGGTTTTTCTATCCTCATACAGTTATATTACCCTGGCAGCAAAGAGAAGAAGTTGAAATAACAGCTGGTTACTGAAGGGTCCACTTTTGAGAATTGATTCACACCAATGCATATTTCTGAAACAATCTAAGAGATTTTTTAATGTTGCAACATTAACAGAGTGATGGAAATTAAATGGATATGTAACAAATGCAATCTTCTTGCAAAATACTTGGCAGTGTCATACAGAATTTAAATGAATTTATAATTATGTGCTAACTATACACTTGTTTAACACTCACATTTCTCAAGAATGAAAAAAATAAACTATACTTTTAAAATACAGCCTCTTAGCTGATTTAGACCTGTTTCAATCCCACTGGTGTAAATCAGTGAAGCATTTGGCTGTGTGGCTTTAGCCTCATGTACTGAGTACTGTATGCCGGGCAAATCCACAGAGTCTGATACATTGACGAGGATCAGGGAAAGAAAAAACTGATCTAACAAAGTGGTCTCATCTGTTCTTTTTATCCCTACTCTAAAAATGTTGAATTGCTCTTCACCCATGTTCTGCATATTTCTTGCACTTGATTATGTGTTAAGGCTGTTTGATTGTTGTTTATGTGAGATATTTTGTGTCCAAAGGTCAAATGAGCATAGCTTTTGAATCAGATTCCTACTGGCTGCTTTTGTAATACTTAAACTTTGCACACTGGGAGGAAAAGAAAGTGGGAGACAGTTCAAGCTAACTCAAATAAACAGAGAGAAGTAAAGCAACAATTGCTTTTCTGTATGGACCTGCTCCCTTGCTCGATTCTTCTTTAGAGATAACACTCTTTGACAAAACGTCAGATAACCATGTTCAAAGTTTCACAGGCTAATCATTTAAAGATGCATTTCCACTCCATTTATTTTCCTTTATCTGAACCCTCTGTTGGTTCATTTCAACTGAGGACATTTTCATTTAGACTCCCCAAAACAGAGACATGTAGGGAAAAAAAGGGCCCACTTTGAAACCCCTCTGGAGATTACAAAGAAAAGCATATGACATTAGAATGCTGTGTTCTGATGAGAACAGTTGTTTGCATAAAAATGTTAACTATTACTAAAACTTCAATGAAGTTTCAAGGAAAGAAAGACAGATAAAGCCTCAGGTTAATTTGAGTCATTACCAAGCACTTTACCTGCTGAAAAATTCCAAAATGCAAAGGGATGTCAATCTTGTTCTTTAGGATTTTTTTTTTTAAATGGAGAAGACCTTCAAAGTAGACAAGACAGTCAATTACAGACCTGATTCAGCTCTTAACCCCTTGAGGTATAAGTAAGCTTTTTCTGCAATAGAAATCATATTCAGCATTCATTCAGATAAAAGGCCTAAATTTCCAGCATGATATTTCAGCAATGTATTCTGGAGTACAAGGCAATGACAGGTATTGCAAAATGAGAGCATGATATAATCAAATACGTAAGCTGATGAGACACACTGGGGAACACATATTCTTTTTCTGCTGCCGTAGCAAGTCACTAATGACATCTCACTACTTGATAAACTTGTAGCCACTTAGGTTTTCTTTCCTACTAACCTATATTGCTGTACATTTTCTTACATGATCTATCATATGTTCCCTTCATTGCTAAAAGACTCTCTCTCTATATATATATATTTGTAAGGTACTAGACTTGGTTAAAGCTGAAAGCAACTTGGGCCTCAATGAACAATTAACAAGTTGAATGGAACTTATTAACCATCTCTATAATATCCTTTTAAGACGATAATTTATCTTTTTAACTTTCCTCTGTAAAACCTGCAGAAAAGAGCCTGATGGGAGCAAGTACACTGCATTATATACAGCTACAAGGTTTACCACATCCTATAGATTCTCTTGCAAGGCACATTAAAGTGGAGTAAAAGGTAACTTATCTTGAAGAGTTGTTTGAGTGAGTTACCATAGCAAGGGCAAGTTCAAAGATGATGAAGAAGAAACCATCATCAGTGGAAAACAGAAACCAGGTGTAAAGGGCCCTAATAATTTTGGTTAGAAGACTACACAGGATGAACTAACTTGAAGCTTAACATATGGGTTAGATCTTTAGAGAGTTTCCTGAAAGGTTAGCAAATAAATTCAGAGACTTATATAAAATGCAGGGCCTGATTTTCCTTTCATTTATTTCAGTGTATCAATGAATTCAACCTGTAAACCTGGTGTACCTAAGAGGAGAATCATACCAATCATTCTGAAATTACTTAGTGAAATGATGGTGATGACTCACTTAAGGAACACTTTCATACCTGTGAAACATTGGCCATTTGGTTGAAGGAAAGGAAGCCAAAAATAACTGTTTGCTACAACATTTTTTTATTCACTTAGAAAAAGCTTTTCCTCCTAAAGGTCCTTTTGCCCCCTCCTTTTCATATTTCCAGTATTGATTTATCTGATCTCATCTCATTGATTATCAAATTCCATAGGGATCTCCTTTATCTCCCAACTTTATATTGGCCAGCATTTCCATTCAAAAAGATCCCTAAGGTCTTTTCTGAAGTTCACTTTTCCTATCTAAAATTCCCCATCCCCATTTTATTTTTTTGTAATACCAAAAAATATTCTATAAATGCTCTTGCTCCTGGAGTAGGCAAGAAGAATGAATTTGCACTGGACTCTTTCCTCCATCTCTAAATCAAAATTGCTGTGTGTGCAGCAAGCAGAATGGAGAAATTTCTCACTCTCTTTCTATCTGGAAATGATTCTAAAATTCGTAATGTGTGAAGGCATTGTTCAAAAACAGATACTGGTTCTTCCTAGGTAACTTGAATTTACTTAAAAGAACCCCCTTGCACTTAAAATAGTTAACAGCAATTCTAATTACTGGATAAGAAAGAAAGGTCAGATTTCTGTTACATCATTGTGAAAGGTTTTTATTACATGCTGCTATAAAACGTATTTCTTTGTCAGTTGCCATCCTAGCAGACTAGCCTGCATACCAATAGGAACTAAAATGCCAAGAAGCAGAAGATAGTTATCTACTAAATTCTATGTACAGTAACCTAACAAATGCCAGAGGAAGAAAGATTGCCCTCTGCACAGTAATACTTGTGTAGATGTCTTCTTTATGCTAACAATGACAAGGCTCCTTTCGTTTGTACTGTACTCCAAAATCAGAATGCATTTTTTTCAAAAGCAGACTGTATATCAAAGAGAAAAGATAGACATTCTGGGGCACTGGGATACTTAATGTGAAGAGCAAATACATTTTCCTGAAGACTGCTAACTAAAAGATTTGAATCCATAATGTTAAAACTGAAGATTTACACCATCAGTATTATTCAAGGTACTAGGGAAGGTTTTTGATGGTTTTAAACTTTTTTCTTTCCCCTCTTTCTGTCCATTCTGCTTTACAACATTTTCCTCTTACCTCTATTCTGTTCCAGACTTTTAAAATTACAGTTGTTTTTATTAACTCCTAAGTTAGTTAGATAACATTTCTATATGAATAATATATACAAAACTAATTATTATAATTTACAAATTGCAGCTGACAAACGATGAAGTGAGCTGTAGCTCACGAAAGCTTATGCTCAAATAAACTGGTTAGTCTCTAAGGTGCCACAAGTACTCCTTTTCTTTTTGCTAAACAGGACAAATTTTATTGAAGGACAAATTTAAGGAAGAAGAATTCTAATGCTGTAATTTCTGCACTGTGCTGCTCTTCAAAACTATTATTTTATTGTATTTGAATATATCTAAAATTGTCCTGTCAAAGCAACATTTCAGATGTAACTCTAAACTATGCCAGCAAATCCAAAGAAATGTTCATGAAGTGATGCCAGACTTACTGTCTGCCTTCATACAATCAGTGTGCTCTCAAACGTGCTAGTTTCATATTTCTTGTTATACACACTTCGAGTCAGAACTTTACTGAGTAAACAGCGCTTGAATTGCCTCCCCCCCCGCTTTTTGCAGTCTATAGGAATTATGCCCCAAACTGGTTTTGATCCAGTTAACTTTCTTTTTTTAAAAAAAACAAGCATTTTATGTTCAACATTTCAAAAAATAGATATGAACACACTTATAACTATAATGGTTACATTTAATTACTTCTATTACTACTGGCAATTCTATTAAAAATATGTCTATCTTGTGGTCTACATTTATTTGACAGGCCCATTTGCAACAAGGCCTGCAGTTTCCTTGTATACAACAGTGCAAAGTAAAAGGTGACCTTTTTATTTATGTTTAAAACATTTCAACAGTTAGTTCTGCTCCAAAGATAACACCCTAAGAAGGTTCAAGGCCAGAAACCCCTGACAATATTGACTTTTCACTTGATGACTACTGCACTGCATTGACTTAAACAGATATTGGAAAACATTTTTTAAAAGGAAAAAGAAAAAAGCTTAATTGAAGGTTGCACTTGTAGACTAGAGAGCCTCTATGTTAAAATCTTACTTGTCATTGTAAAAAGGATAAATAGCTGGCTAAATAAATGTTAGAATAACAGTCACTTAAACAACTGCACCTATACAGATAAATAACAAAAGCATCAGGCACCTGGCATCATATTAGGACCTACTGATGACAAGAACATGCATCATTATAGTGGCATCTAATAATGAGCAAATAGTGATGGTATTATGTCTTTAGAAGAATCAGGCTCCTACCTTTACAAGACAGATGGAAGGTAAGTCCCCCTTTAAAGAAAGTTGTCAGTAAAACCAGGCTGCAGTTGCAGTAAATTGAGTCCTTTCAGTCACTGTATACATGCAGCAGTTCTGCAATGAGGGGAAAAATATTATGGGAGGAGCAGCTGTGAATGAGTGACCTCCTGAAGCTGAGTTCTCTTTGTGAATCAAGCACTGGGAGCCAGTGCCTCTGATTTGCATGGATTATCTCCACTTGAACAGATACATTTAAATTTATCTGGCACAGTGGCAAAAAAATGGGAGAGAAAGTGAATGAGAGCGAGAACAAGAGAGAGAAGGGGAGAGACAGAGAAAAAGAAGACAAGAAATCGGGAAGCTTGGCTGGATATGCTGGTTCTGGCAGAACTGTGTCTCAGAAGAGCTACAGCTCCCTCTTCATGTCACAATTATAAGATAAGAAATGCTGTCATTAAGCACTGGTTAATAACAGAATACCTCCCCTGCCCCAAACTTCTGATGTTCCATTTGATCAGATTTTTATAAACAATTATTCTGTCATCATAAAGTCAGGATTTTATACTGGAAGCTTCAAGTGATTTGTAATCAGGCAGGTAAAAGAATGAGGCAGGTAAAACTCCCCACATAATTTTAAACACAGAAACATTTCAAACTGAGTAGTTTGTACAAATTAAGACAGATTTCTACATGTGCCTTAAAAATACAGTTATTGAGTATGCAGATAACTTTAAAGGAATGGAGAGAAGACGGGATTCAAAATGTTGATATATTGTTGTCTTTGACAAAAATATCATTGCTCTGTGTGTGTAAACCAATATTTTTGAGATTACCGAAATGTATCAAGACAAAGAGACCTGTGAAAACCCTCTAACAATCTGCATCCAGCCACTTCTCCCTTATTACCATGAATAACACAAGCATTACCTGTCAAATTTTCCCAATTTGATTTAAATGAAGTACTTATGCTGATTAGGGACGTGTGAGGAACCCTCTTGAGCCCTCATCAAAACTAAGATGAACCTGAACTAAACTTTTTTTCTGGTTCAAAGGCATTTAGATAATTTTTCCCCCCACTCTACAGTTTCCCAGTTTAAAGATTTTTGAACCTCTAACTATAGTTGTTGGGTACCAGTTGGACCAAAAGTCATTAAATGCAGAGATAATAGCTATTCGGAAATGGAAGGTAACAGAAAGCTCTGACAGAGTTTATTTTTATGAGATTTCAAGCCCAAAGCTGCAATCTCAGGAGATTCAGATAATTCAAATGAACTTCAAATAAAAATCTGAACTTTTGGTGTTTGTACAAACCAAAGTCAAATTGCAAAACAGTTGAGGGTCACACATCAGTTACATGAAACTTTAAATCCCTCTGTCCCAGGTCTCCCCTTTTTAGTCCTGATTCTGCAAAGAGACACAAGTTAAACAGATCCTGTTCCTATGTACAGTCTCAGTGAAGTCAACTAGAGTCCATGCAGACTCAGGAGTCTACCCCCTGCTTGGAGCCTGGTTGATATCAGTGGGGACCTGCCTGTGGGGTTCACTTTGCAGGATTGAGATATTTGCTTGAAACCTGGATGCTTAGATGATGCATCTAGCTAAACAATAAATATTGTAAGTACTAAGCTTACCCCTGCCATGAAAAATTGCTTCTTGGAAGTAATCACATTTACAGTAAAACTCACTGCAGATAAATGATTACACAGATGCTGGACAAAGTAGTGGGGAATATATCTAGATTCTCTAATAAAAGCTATGTGACACAGTTATTAGTAACTGCCTATGCCCCATACGCAACTGCTAGCTCTTAAAAATGCACTTGGCTCTCTCCAAAAAACGTCGAGATTCAGATTATTTTGTTTTGGGGGCTAGATCCTTGAGCTGTGCCTGTTTACACCAGCTGAGGATTTAGCTCTGAATGTTTATTAGAAATGTATCAAAACTGCCTGAGGTTTCATACATCCTTCCCATTTTTCTCTCCCATCTTTCCTTCCATGTTTCTCTCAAGCCCATAATGGGTTGCCAGGTGTCCAGTTTTCAACTGAACACCTGGTCGAAACGGGACCCAGCCTGCTGAAAATGAGCAAGTGAGTGAGGGTGGGGGAGAGTGAGCGATGGAGGGAGCGGGGATGGAGTGAGTGGGGTTGGCTGTATCTCACCTGCTCCTTTGCCTCCAGAATTCACTTGCTCCTTCCACTTACCCTTTCTCTGACCTCCCAGTAAGTGAATGAGTACCCTTCTCTCTTCACAACCTTCCATGATAAATCCATATTTTACACACCATTCCCTGTGAAGGGTTATGAGTAGTGTGTTTCCAACTGCTAGAGGGCCTGGAAAAGCACCATGAGCCGAAATCTGCTCCCAGAAGTGGGGTAAATTCTGTGTAACTCCACTTTACACCTGTATCATGAAGAGATTAATTTGGCCTAAGCTACTCATATTAATCTCCTTTAACCTCAGTGACCACTTCTTAAATCTCCTTTGCCGTCTTTTACTTTCCATGGTCCCCAATCAATCCTTCTCAATCTTTGAAGAATGTCGTCAGATTCAATAGGTCTTACAGTGCCTTAGACTGTCCTATGTGTTATGCCTCAGACTGTGCTGCTTTCAGATATACTTTGCATTCTCCCTGGTCCTAGCTTGCAATGCATTCTGGACTAGGAAATCCTACAGCGTGACAGATATGGATGTAACAGCAGCTTCGTCACCCTACACATGGAACCTCTGAAGACCATCAATGATAAGGGGACTTCAGAAAGGAGCCTGGGAGGAATCAGAGCACAGGAAGTATCCGGGGTAGCCGTGTTAGTCTGTATCTACAAGAACAACAAGGAGTCCGGTGGCACCTTAAAGACTAACAGATTTATTTGGACATAAGCTTTCGTGGGTAAAAAACGCACTTCTTCAGATGCATGGAGTGAAAATTACAGATGCAGGCATTATTATACTGACACGTGAAGAGAAGGGCGTTACATCACAAATGGAGAACGCAGGGCCAATTCGATCAGGGTGGATGTAGTGCACTCCCAATAATTGATGAGAAGGTGTTAATTCTAGGAGAGGCAAAGCTGCTTTTATAATGAGCCAGCCACTACCAATCCCTATATAAGCCGAAATTAATGATGTTAAATTTGCAAATGAATTTTAGTTCTGCAGTTTCTCTTTGAAGTCTGTTTCTGAAGTTTTTTTGTTCATGTATGGCTACTTTTAAATCTGTTATAAAATGACCAGGAAGATTGGAGTGTTCTTCTACTGGCTTTTGTGTCTTACCATTCCTGATGTCCGATTTGTGTCAATTTATTCTTTTACGTAGACACTGTTCGGTTTGGCCAACGTACATGGCAGAGGGGCACTGCTGGCACATGATGGCATATATCACATTGGTAGATGTGCAGGTGAATGGGTCCCCGATGGTGTGGCTGATGTGGTTGGGTCTTCTGATGGTGTTGCTAGAGTAGATATGGGGACAGAGTAGGCAATGAGGTTTGTTACAGGGATTGGTTCCTGGGTTATGGAATGTAGTTGCTGGTGAGTATTTGCTTCAGGTTGAGGGGCTGTCTGTAAGCGAGGACTGGCCTGCCTCCCAGGTCTCTGAGAGTGAAGGATCTTTTTCCAGGATAGGTTGTAGATCGTTGATGATGTGCTGGAGAGGTTTAACTGGGGGCTGTATGTGATGGCCAGAGCACAGGAAGGATTAAGAGAAATTGTAGGAAGACCAGGAAAATTATTATCTCATTTGGTAGTGTGGGGGTGGGAGGTTGAAGAGGTTGGGGCTGAGATTCCCTTTTGGCAAACTATGTACACCTGTTAGGGATCACTGTGTGGGAGAGTGAAGTGAAGGCTGTGGGGAGGAACCAGAGAAACAATTACTAGAATATCTGTTAACCTTATAAGAAGTCTGAATTTCATTCACTTAGAGGAAAGGGCCAAAGATGAAAATGATATTTTAATCAAATCCATTTGCACATCCTTGCTCTGCAATTGAGCAAACACATTAACAATTCCCTGTTGACTAGGGAAAACAAAAAAAACAAAAAAAGAACAAATCAGGTTAGGGTGAAGGAAAAGGCAAATGTACCAGAACAACTGGCCACAAAATCAACACAAAGTTGCCAAACCTATGGGAAAAAGTGAATTTAGAGGGCAGGTGCCACACAGTCCTATCAGGTTTCAGAGGAACAGCCGTGTTAGTCTGTATTCGCAAAAAGAAAAGGAGTACTTGTGGCACCTTAGAGACTAACCAATTTATTTGAGCATGAGCTTTCGTGAGCTACAGCTCACTTCATCAGATGTAGTGAGCTGTAGCTCACGAAAGCTCATGCTCAAATAAATTGGTTAGTCTCTAAGGTGCCACAAGTACTCCTTTTCTTTTTACAGTCCTATCAAATAGCCACAAATTTTCCCACTGCTGTGCAAAAGATAGTTATGCATATATTTGTTAATAGTGTTATTCAGTTTAATCCCTGCCCCCACAACATGCACATCAATCCGTGAACTCATTCAGATAAAATAAAAGCCCCCTGAATCTTTCAGAAATTTTCATATGTATCAAGTTTCCAGATTAAATTGAAACAAAAATATCCAAAATGGCATCCAAAAGATTAGTCTTGAGTTTTGCCCAGTTTCAGGTTTGCCCATGACCAATATAACTTCTAGTTATTGGTAATTCATCCCTTCAAACCCAGCATAAAGAAGCAGCAGAAGATATTTTTGGGGCATACTTAGTCATGGGAGAAAACCCACATGAATAAAACAGAACATATCAAAGGACACTGAGACAGGATCTTTGGTAACAGACTTTTGTCATTTTGCTACACTGTCCAAATCACACAGTATTTGTCCAGTAACAAAAAGGCAGGTAACTCTTCATAAAATAAGAGGGAAACTTGAAATCAGAAATACAAGACAGTCTAGTATAATGAAAGACCTGTGAGAGGTAGACAGGCTATACATGTGGAATGAACTTAATTCAATCAAGCAACATGTATTTCACTAACAAAAAGAGGTAGCAGAATCAAAACCCTGCAATACAGGCATAATATGACCAGTCATCAGGGATGGCCCATACTGCAGAACAACTGAGACTGGTGTAAGAGTAAATACATCCAATGAAGTGAGCTGCAGCTCACGAAAGCTTATGCTCAAATAAATTTGTTAGTTTCTAAGGTGCCACAAGTACTCCTTTTCTTTTTGCAGATACAGACTAACACGGCTGCTACTCTGATACATATGAAAT